TAATGCATGTAGGCAAACTGCGATACACAGGTCACTTCACCAAAAAGGACACACGGTCTGCCCTCCGTATCGGGAATGCAGAGCTGGTGGGTACTGGGGGCCAAAAGTACCATTTCATACAAGGGACTTGAGCCTCCGTGGAGTCTGGTACCCACGGCAGTCCTGGACCAGTGTCCGCGGATACAGAGGGACGACCGTGTCTCTAGTCTATTCTCCCTTGGTAGATCCGGGTCCATCACTAGTAAGAGACAGGCCAGTGGCCGGGCCTTTTCGTGAGTGTGAGTCTGGGCTACTCAAAGGGAGAAGAGCTCCCCATCATCACACCATCTCTCTTGCACGCGTACTTGGGGCCGCCTCACTCAGTGCAGGCCCTGGGCCACATCCTGAGGACACTGCTGTCACAGAACTCACGCTCTCATGTTCCTAAAGGAAAGCTTACTCATCACCTCACCGCTCCTCCCTGGAGTTTCCTTTCTCCCTCAGTGACCTGCCCTCTGGGCATGAGCGTGGAGGGGAGGGTGGTGGCTCCACTTCCCCCACCCCCTCCAGCACACACTTTCCAGCTGTGCTCAGTCAATACTGTGGAGTTCAGGAGAACTTCTCCTCTACTTGCCTTATGTCACACCTCGTTCTACTTGACTCGACAGTGACTCGTTTCCCGCTCCTCCTTCCGCACTCCTACGACAAACCCGGCAAGAGCAGGCTGTGTCCCCTGGCCTTACACTCTGCCCGCAGGGCCCGGCACAATCCCTGGCGTGGGCGTGTAATCGGTATTTATTCAGTGACTCAGATGAGTGACTCCAGATACCCCTACGTGGTGGCCCTCTAAAGCGCAAGGTAAGTCATTATTAGCTTACCTCACAGTCATATGTTACTTCTATGCTTTCATTTTGGAATATCTTAGAAAACAGTTTTGTTTTTTTTTAAGTGGGGTCGGGGTATATTTCTACTGATTCATTACGCCCAAATTCTAATATTCTGGCCTGCAGACAAAGACAGTGCCCATGGAATGGCAGAGCAGTAAGACAGAGAAACCTGGGACCCTGAATGACACTGTGGAGCAGAACCACCCCAGCAATTTGGCCAGCTCATCTGGAACAGTTACAAGAAGGAAAAGGGATTTTAATGTACTTTAACCATCTTATTTTTCGGTCTTTGTTACAGGAGCCTAGTAGTTACCCTAACCAACATCAATATTGCAAATTAGCAGCCCATGGGCAATTCTAGTTTGCAAACACATTTTGCCTGGCTAGCAGAGTACTAATTTTCCTTCTTCTTCTTTTTTTTTTTTGGCATATGAAGTTTTTAAAACTGAGTATGAGCTTACAAATGTACTACCCTCCCAATATTCTTAATTGTATTTCATTTATTCACATGTTCTGTACGGCTCCTGTAGGCACAGAAATGTGTGATGCCTGCGAGGTATCTTCTCTGCACTTTAATCTGCTAGCACAGTAGGAAGAGAATGCATGGATGGCTGGTGTCTTCCGTCTGATAATAAACCCGTCAGCATTTCATGGCTTCTTTGAGAATTAAGCTTAGATTTCTTGGCTAGGTATTTAATGCCCTTCAAAATCTGGTCTACTGCTCAGCGTTGCGGGTAGTAGTCCCAACAACACCCAAACATACACTCTCTGCAGCCAAGATGTACAACCTGCTATTCTCCAAACACTGATATGTTCCACCCTCCGTATCTGGGCTCGTACCAGTGCTTCCCAAACCGTGTTTTGTAGACTAGTCCTTGAAAATGCCCCACCACAAACAATTTAAAAACAAAGATAACAGATACATATGAGATAAAGATTTACATAGTAAAATAAGTTCAAAAGAAGCTATCACACCCACCCTTGAAGAATGACAAAGAACATTTATACATTAAAGCCTCTGACAGTTCCTGCAATAAACAAATTTCCTTACTATCATTTAACTCATGATTTCACAAATAATTTGACAAGGACGCCGTTTGCTTTGGCAGCTGTTGTACACTATTCTGCCTCTTTTTCTATCTCCCCCTTTTTGGTTTATGTACCAGTGTCCTGGAGAGAAGGTAGAATCTGAAGTCTTTGAGCTAATTAACACTTCTAAGGTCAAGACTCAAGGATACTCAACATCTTTAATTGCAATCACTTTAAAATATCTACGTTAGGAAAAGGGATCAAGCCGGTAATAGGTACTGTGAAATTATGCTGCCTATCTGAAAAAATTTATCCATAGAACAACCTAAGTAGTATTAATTTTCATCAAAACTATAGGTTTCATTTATCCAGTATTTACTATGTGTTTGGCACTCTGCTAAGCTCTTTAGACATATTAGCTCTAATTCTTCCTGCAACTGTGTAGTTGGCAATATTCTGATTTTACAGAAAAGGAAGCTTAAGCTCAAAGAGGTTAAGTGACTTGCCTAAGGTCACACAGCTAGTGGCAGAATTAGGATTAGAACACAGGCTTGTTTAGTTCTCTGTATGTAATAAATTTTATGGCATTTTATTCCCATATATATATAATTAATACATATTACAATATAAATTATATACAACACCAGAGACTTGATTATCCTATCTAACCCAAAGGCCTTATCACAACTTTTTACCAATGCCTACAGCCAGTAAGGGAAGAGTAGTATTTCATTAAAGTAAATTTGATGCCTTGACTTCACATAAAGAGGGTTTAAGAGTATGAGTTACAAGTGATTAAGCACTTAATTGAAGAACTATGTTGGATATCAAAACATCTAAATAAAAAGTGAAAAAAGATTTGCACTTATTTGTATGTTTAGAGATATCAGATGCATGACATTACAGAATGAATTGGAAATGAAGGGATCTTAAAAATCATATAGTAATGGTGTAACCATCATTTTGTCATCAAGACTTTTAGACTAATAAGATTATGAGGTTTGATTTTTTAAAAATAATTCATTTAATATGTTTGCCTTCCCATAACTTCACCTTACTTATCCTCTGAAACAGGCAGAATAAATCTAATTTTGCTATCTTTTGAATATTTGAAGACAGTCCCTCAGCCCCTAATTTTCTCTCCTCCAGGCTAAATATTCTTTCCTTCAGTTTTGTTATGTCAGCAAATTAATTTCCCTGTTGCCCCAAAACATTTAGAATCATACATTTATTAGACCTATAATGAGCAGAAATAGGTATTTTGCAAGTGGACCCAACTACAAATTAATCTTGTACAAGAACAGAGAAACACTTGCTTTAAAAGATTTTCTTTCTTTAAAGAAAATTTTGCTTCATTTTAGAAAAAGTTCCAGTATAGTTAGCATAATAAGATCCATATTTCATAAGTATTTTTAAAATTAATGGTGTTATTTCTTAATGCATCATAAACTTAAAAGTAGTTTTTAATTAACCTGGTTTTGAACTAAAAAGGATTTTTAAGCAATCTTACTGTTTTTATGTTCTGAATCAAAGGTTTCTCTAAATTGGGACAGCAACAACTATTAATCTGCAAATGGATCAAACTATTTGTGATAGCTTCAGTTTCTGCTTATGAACTCTTCCATATACTGGAGAAAAAATAAGGAAATGTATTCTCTGAATACATCAGAAACTGATTACCTTAAATGAAACAGACATGAAACTGGCTCACCCGAGGGGTACCCTAGTTTGTGGATGTAAAACAGCAAAAAAAAAAAACAAAAAAACCTTAATGCCCATCATTCTGTTCTTCCTTTTTAGGTTTAATTCACATGGCTGTGAAACCATTTACAGAGAGCCTTGCTTATTAAACCACCTGCGGACACATCCAATGACAAGGAAAGAAGATGAGCAGGGGCCATGTGCTAATTTTAAGACACTCAACACTGACTGGTTCACCCAAGCATGGAAAGAAAATCATTGATGAGCTGAAGCAGTATATTTCTTTAAAAAATCCTTACAATGACTTTTCCAAGGCTACAAAAAGAAAAAAAAAATTACAAATAGGTAGATGTAGTTTTCCAAATATATAATAAAATTAGTTAATGTTGAGAACCACAAAATACAAAGAGCTTCCATCTTTTTTAACGTCATTCGCTTTGTGCAATTCTTACTCACCCAGCAATTACTTAGCTCCTGATGCCGTAATTCACAGCGTTTATTAAATTATAGGATCTATATTATCCATGTCTGCAGATCCTACGGCATGCCACAAATCGTGTAGGCCACTAGACTTTGAAGTTTGCTGGCTTAGCACAAACACAAAGTATTTTAGAAGCACCAGAAAATTCTTTGTGAAATATAACAGAATGAATTAGACTGTTCAGGCCATGTCGTGTAAGCACAATGGGGGAACACTTTTAAGACTTTAAAGTCATGTAATACAATTCTAGGCTGGATTTTTCTTGTTAAAAAAAGGAGAATGGGAGTGATTGGAAGAGAAAAGGGCCAATATTTGACAACAGAAATCAGCATAACCTTTTAACTGCAGCAGCCATGGGTGACTGCCCTTTGACCTTGAAAGATTATGTGGGATTTCAATGACAACAGCTGGAAGTGAGCATGTGTGAATAGAGAACACAGATCTGAGGCCTGGTACAAAAGACTGCACAATCTCTGCCCAGATCAGAGTGCTGATTAGAAATTGTTTCCTGGTCCTGGCTTAATAGAGTGTGATAATGAAAGTTGTTTTTTTTTTTAATTCTTCCACCAAGAAATCATTGGTAGATTTCTTCCACACCCACTCTCCCCCTTCAGCCCCTCACATCTTCTGGGTTTTCACTTGTAACAGGCCCATCTTAAGGATACAGTTAAAAGCAAAACTTTGTTTCATAAGCTACTTTTCACAGACAAAATTTCTTTAAGTTCTTGAGTTCTTCTCCTGAGTTTTAAAATAACCTCTATTGTGACATTTCACACTGGCTATCATTCTTTTTTGTTTAAGGATCTGTCACACATACACACACACAACACACCCCAAATGAGAGTTCTGTCCCGCATCTTTTTATTCCACCATTTGTACACTGATTAGCACATGGTGGGTCCTCACTGTATGTATGGCAAATGAACACAAAAAGGAAATATTTATTCTTATCCATGTATTCTTTTTATTCTTGAGAGGTAAAGGTAGATTCCTACACACACATTTAATAAATAACACCTTTTCCTCCAACCAATTTCCCATATAAATTAGCAGTTTTTTCTTACATCTTTAGATGTGTTTACCCAACAAGAATTTATGAAAAGGATAAATAATTACTTCCTTTCAAAGATAAGGTAATTGAACCTAGTAGATACAGAGATTTGTGGTGAATGTGATCATTTACATCCACAAGACCCTAAATGAATGACATGCACTGAGCTGAAAGGCACATGAACAGATGCAGACGCAGTCTCCAGCTCCCATGGAGGATCCCCATACTTGCTGACATTGCTCTGAAACCACCAGAGTGATGCCCCACGATTACTGAAAGGACATTGGGTTATGACTCATTTATGTTGTTTTGGTTTTACTGTAGACTCTGTCTTACCTTCCAGTGCTCTGGATTTTGCTAATGACTCTAGTTTCTATATCAAATTAGCAACTTTTCAGCTTCAGTAGAAGGCGGCCTTTCCTTTATGCAAATAATACCGTGAGTTGGGCAAAAACCAACCTGGCTGTGCGGTATGAGACAAGCAGAGGCTGGTGAGACTGACTTCCCAAGCAGACGCGGGTCGTCAGCCCACGTCCTTCTATAGCAACTCTAGATGTTATTCCAAACAAGCCAGGGGACAGATTGTTTTTCGGAACAGACCGAATCCATTTGCCATTTCAAAATTCTATAAACAGAGTATTAAGGAATTCAATTCCCACAGCAACTATATGGGCGTTGGCTTCAGTTTTACGGGAGTCCCTGCCAAGCTCACATAGTTGTACAACTATCGGTTTAGAGTGTCCTTTGCAACTCAGAGCAGGAGGGATCCCTGCTTGTGATCTCAGCTCACTTTAAGGACTGGGTCTTGCTGGTGACAGGTATACATGATAAATGTTCCAGAAGCCTGACCTAATTTCCCCTGAAGTGAGTGTTTTGCTGAGAACATTCCCTCAAAGTGTCAGCTTGCAACCAAGGAGTCAAACCTGCCAGTGTCCATGCTTCCTAGCGAGTTATTACCATTGTTTATGAAAGTTCGCTTAAAAGGAAGCTAATTCTGCCTTACTTTTCAAGCTTCTCCAGACTTACTTTTGCATTTAAGTTAGTTATATGCCTGATTTAAAATAAGTAATTATCAGACATGTTCAGTTTCCTAGTTTTTGCTTGGATGTGATCAGAGAAACAAAATATTCTAGGCTAAATATAAATCAGGGTGAACCTGTAATGTATTTGTCTTTTCTCGTGTAAAGGGACCACTATGGCAATGTGTTCATTCATCTTGTCCTTCAAAAATCATATTTTCAAGGCATCATTTACCTATCATGTGGCAGGAGGGACAGTATTACAGAAATTAGAATCTCGAATGTCCTAAGCCTCAGTCTGCTCAGCTGTGAAATGGCACGAATGCTTATAAGTTTGTTGCTAGGAATAATGAGATAATGCACTTAATGTGCTGAGCAAAGAACATAGAATGTATTAAAAAGAAAAAAGACTATACTGTGTATCTTAGATTTTGAATCAGATAGAATATTTTTAAAAGGAAAAACAGAAATAATTATGTTCTTTTGATGTGGAAGAGTAAATAATGTAAATATCCACGTAAAAGTTGTGCATGTAAATAAAATGATATAATTTCATTTGAATGAACTTTTGAGTAAAAATAAAATTACTTTCCAAAGCAAGTAACACAAAACATCATTAAAATAGAATCCTCTGGTATTTCTTAGGTTTTTCTAAAGTGATATAGAACAGTACTTGGTCTCCAAATTGTTTTAAGTAAATTGAGTGTAAATTTTAGGAATCTGATTCCTGTATTTATTTATAAATATATTTATTCATATTATTTTTAAAAATATAATTATTTATAATTCCTAAAATTATTTTAAATATAGATCTATTCTTTAAAGGCACATTAACCATCTGCACAGGCCAAGCACTATCCTAGATATGGGGCTACAAATTTTGATTTCATATTTTTGGGGTAACAACTATAGATACTTAACCAATATGTGAACCCTAGGTCATTTTTTTTTTTGGCAGATCAAGTTTTACCAAATTTTTCAATAAACAATATATAGGAGTATTTAGAGAAAGAGAATATAAAAAATGGTATGCTTTTTTTTGGCCAATTACATTTTATCCTTTTAAAGAATTTGGTTTGCTGAAAATTCTTCTTGGTAGCTAAAGGCAAGCTGCATGTTCTAGAAAACAGGTACTTAGAAATCTAATTGTGTTTTCCAGTATTTCTCAAATGAAAACTATTCAAACTCTTTAAAATATTAAAATACTTTGGCTCATATTAAAACACATTCAAAATAAGCAATGTTAACATCAAATGTAGACATATCTTAAGAAATAAACTACCCACAGTCCAGGGTGTCCACACTTCAGGTCATTATTTCAGTATAGATGGAGAGTCATCAGAAAGCATCATTAAAGGAAGAGTCTTGATTCCTTGCGGCTTTAAATCAATGCTAAAAGAATTTGCCCTCTTAGGCAGAAGAATGACGGACATGTTACCCTTTAC